ACAGCGACTCATTTTTATATGCATAAACCTCTGTAACTGAGATAACATTGTTTGTTTACTCATTCTTATTCTACCCACAAATTCCACACGTAATTCCAAGTCCACTTCTATTAATGGTACCCTCTGTAGATGAGACAGATATTTATTTATACCTGTATATCTGAAACACTGGGTAAATGGAATACCTCTATAAGTGAAACGACATTGCAGGTCCCTTGATGTCTCACTTAACCAGGTTTCACTGTATAAAGAGTAGATGTAATCATTTTTGAATAACTATTTTATTAACTACGCTTAAAAACGCCGACTTCAACCTTCTCTTATTTTTTGAAGTCGGTTACTTAATATACTTAAACCTTCTCCTATGTGTATCAAACAGTATTCTGAAAACCACACCAAAATTAGTTCAGCTAATAACGAGATAAACGCGTACAAACATACACACATACTTGGTCAAACAGAGAACCTCCTTTTTTATTTAAAGTCCTTTTATATTTGAATAATATAGATATTACGTAAAAGAAATCTAGTTTACAATTTAATCATGCCAAAACATCAACTATAATTACATAAAAATAAATAAAACAAAACAATAAAACAACTAGAAAACGTAAGATCAAAGCTAGAATCTCGATGAACAATATTTGAACATTGTTGCGAGCTCTGAGCAAGAACAAATTAACAGCGGACAAAGAAAAGTATGTCCTATCAATAAGTGGCGGTGGAACTGGCAAATTGAATTGAATAAAACACACAAGTCTCTAACGAGCCGGTGTTTACCCAAGTGGACACTAATTGGCTTAGCCAGCGGTCGCCGACGCGCTTGCACACTGGAGTCAAGAAACACGAACAATGTCCAGCGTGGAGAAGGCATTCGATTACTTTGTAGCTTTATCGCCTTCACAATTTATGACATGTCCAATAATTGAGTTAGAAATTTTCCTTGTAAAATTAATTTTACATGTAACAGACTAACATGACTGCAGAAAATTGGAACGAAGGAGAAAACTCTTAAATATTTTATTATATTCACAAAACGTTTTCCAAACTAATCTTTAGAATCTTCGATTAAAACACGAAATAAATTGTAATGAAAAACTACGTATTAATTGTAATACTTAGAGCATGAAACAAACAATGAGTATTTTAATTATTTAAATATAACGGTACAATGACCAATTAAACGCTCAAACATATGTATGCCATATCTGGCATCGTTTACTGATTCGTTAATTTCAACCAGCATTATTCGAGTAGGGTAGCTTCGAAATGAAGATGCAATCACTGTAACTAGTGGCTTGGGCCTATAAACACTCATTTAACCTTCGTAGTTCAGTTATTATCAAATTAACAGAAACATAAAAGTAAAATAAAAGTAACCCAGCAAAAAACATTTAAAGTAACAAAATAGATTTGCGAGTAGGTTTGTAATTTGGCTCACACAACAGGTTTGCCCGCCAGGTAAATATAATTTACTGCGCCATTTCACATTTTACTTTATTCGTTGAAGAGAACAAACTGAGAATTTGTTTATATCAAACACCATTTACAAAATTATGTTTAATAATTTTCAGATTACTTAAATTCCATTTACTAGTAACTTCTAATAATAAAATTACAAATTAATATGCTATAGTTAATAGTGTCATCTTAATCAAACATAATTCTATGAATACAACAAAATGACCATCATAAATAAGATACTTTACCACGTTGAAAATTAAACTTTCGGGATCCGAACATAATGAAGTCTTTCTCAACCACGCTACAATATTATATTTTAATATCATGTGTATTTCCAATAGAACATGAATATTCTGCGCGCAAAAGTAATTTTAAAGGCTATCACAGAAGGCGGCGGCGGGCGCGGGTGACACTGTCGACACCCACTGACATCAGTGGCTTGTATCTTGCGCTGAATTTGCATATAAATTGTATCTTCTGGTCACACCGAGCAAGATGACACGCGTCTATGATGTGGAGAACTGCATATTTGTGACCATGCTAATCTACGTTACCCAAATTGAACATGATGCAAATATTTTAAAATTAGCTTTGAAAAAGGTTTCTTACACGTTACAACCTCATAAATTTTCAACTGGTTTTAATCAGTCAAAATTACTCTTAGTATAACAATACAAACGAAGAATAAACGTAGCCATCATAATCCCCGATTTTAATGACTTCAAATAAATCTACGCGATCGTTACTAAGCAAAATTAAAGGTTATATTAGTCTTCATCAACGCGCTTCCGAAGCGATGCAGGGCAATAAAACGATGAAAAGAAGCTAATTTTTTAGCAAATCATCTCCGGACCCTATGAAGTCATCAATATTCATTTTGCGGCGCGCCTCCGAAACAAACACCTTTGCGAAGGAGCATAACGCGCTTCCTTTGAGCGAACTATGCCGGGGGCGCGCGTCACGCGGGGAAACCGGCTAACTCAATTTATTTGGATAATTGCCTTGTTTCACTAACGTTCCCGACTCGCATCAATTAATTTACTGTACAACGATAGTTTTTGATAACCTTGTTCTACAGTTTATTCATAACCAGTACTGCTTTGTTTATTAATTTACGTGTAGAAATAGGTAATAATAAATTATATATTACAATTACTTCATACATTTACATTTTTATCATAATAAAAAACTACTGTCTAAATAAATAAAATTAACACCTTCAACAACCCGGAATGAAGTCCATAACTTTGCTGAAATTATGTCACCTACATACCTAATAGATATTATTTATTGAATTTAATCAAAGCAATAATATTGCTCCAAGAATAACGTATTCGAATCTATTGTTTGTGTCTACAATTTATGATTATCAAATCACTATGCCATTATGGTTGAGGCTATTAATATTCTGAATAGGGAACGGAATAATTTTGGGGTAAGTCCAGCGTCCGGCTTCGGTCGTATTAGCAGGAGTCCATCGGCTACGGCTACGCGCTACGAGTGCATTCGTCCGGCGTACTACGCTCGTAGCCCGTAGCCACTGCGTAGCACTTTGTAGCACAGCAGTAACTTTTCACTAACTCGTTCAATTAATGTTTGTATTGTGATTCAATTTGTTAACTTGCTACCGTAGTAACATTTTATCAAATTAAACTGATAAATTAAAGCAGACTACCAACAAAACATTTTATTTATTGAAAGAGTTCATCACAACAACGAAAACGCAATACTTCAGCTTATTTCATAAGACTAATTCTCATTAATTATATTTTATTGCATAAATATGCGTGACGTAATATTTTGAGATAAATTTAAAGTAAATAGTAACAAAATCCAATTATAAGTGAAATTATCTCGTCACTAATAATGATTGAAAAATAAATTACAGTTTTTGATAATGCCTTTAAGAGTTACTCGTTTTATTGAACATTCACTGAATGGTTTCTTTAAATGAGAGAAACAGAATTTCAGTAGATTGTAGCTATTTGGTGTAGCCAGTGCACGTACGCGACCGCAACGTCCAAGCTAGGCCGTCATTACTGCGGCTCAGCGCCAAATTGCGATATCCGCTGCCTTTGCCGAGTGACCGCCTGCACCTTGCAGGTAGTTGGCGCAATCAGTTTTCTTATTTCAAATTAGTACATCTATTTTGTATCGTACAACTGAAGCAAAGAGTCGGAATATCTTTATTCTTTTTTTATAAAGAAAGATCGTGGACGGCACCTGGCGTAGTGAAGCACTGCGGCTGGGGTTGAAGGTGAGGAGCGCCATCTTTGTGCGGCGGCAGTCCCCACGCTGTCCACAGTAACAAGCCACTCCTGTTTATTTTACCGCAATGAATTTCCTTGCAATATTTTCTTCATTTTTTAATTTTGAATACATTTGAGCACAATTCTCCGTGCCGGTTGTGCGCCCCCGGCAATCTCCAAATTGCCTCTTTATGTGCAGATGTTCCGACCCTCGGTTTTTCCGTCTTTTGAATGTCGTTTTGCTGTTAAATAACCTGCTCTTCTATTGTAATTGGGGTTTGTAAGTTTACTTTCTACTTCCGACTGCATTGTCACCGCCATACTACTAAGTGGAATTAAAAGCATTGTGTAAATATTTTTCAGATTTCTCTTTAAACATTTCTAGGAATATCCGAAGCCATTCCTATATTTTTAAATCGTATGGCTTGTATCAGATCTCAGTGCCTATAATATGCACACGTTAGTCGATAATCATTATACTTTTAGTTTAATCTAATGTAAAGGAACAGCTGTAATAAAATGTAATATTTGAGCCTTTAATTTGTTACATCTGCCCTTTGTGTTCGCAATAAAACGCAATTTTAATAATAAAAAGTTAAGTGGTACAAATGCGGTAGCGGGAACTGTTTCTTACGGCGAGTTTTAAATTTAATCTTGGGAGGGTCACTAAAGATCACAATTACACGTTTTACAAGATTCCAACTCATTTATTTTCAGCGAACAAATTATTTCTCGTGAAGCAAATTAATTCCTCAGCATTATACTTTTTTCAAGATCTGAATAAATTTGAACGAGATTTCATAAAAAAAATAGACGGGCTGAGAGCCCGCGGCTAGGGCAAATTACGTCTTTATTTACAAGTGCGTACCTAAATATTTTCTTCCCATTGGAGAGCAGAAATGTTTAATTTATTACCGTAAAGACAAAAAATAAACATGCACCTCGGTACTCGCAAAAGTACATCTGGTAAGTTGCCATGCATCAATAAATTAAATGTCGAACAATCTGCCAGAATTATAAAATTCTATTAGGACTGTGAGTCCTATCTATTATAATCAACTACTTAATTGTTAACACCGTGATATTTATAAGGTAGATATTAAAATGAAAAAATATTTAATCATAGCTAATAAACAACTTAGCTTTAAACAACTTAGGATTCGAACCCGACCTATATTCCTCGGCAAACACAGTTGCACCCACTCGAGCAACCAGACAGACAGTTATTAACTTAGAAATTTAAAAGAAAATACTGAAAAGAATTGTAGAAATAGAAATAAAAGAAGAATAAATAAAGCGCCATGAAAATAAAGTTAGTTTATTCCATTAATAGCAACACAATCATCTCTGCTCGCCAGTTGTTCACGCCTCAGAATAAGAAGTATAACTGAAATGAATTCACAGTAAAACACCTTATTATTGCGAAAATTGAAAACGTAATTTAGTTTTTTTTATTTCAGTATAATTTTCTTGTTGTAAATATGCGTTAGGAACTGTTCTTGTTTGTAAGTAATTGGCTGGTGAAGTCTTTTAGGTATATTTAATGTAACATCATTGTAATTAATCTCCAAAGAGATAGGCAGAGATAAATATAATAAATACAGCACTAACTTTTCACCAGTTATATCATGAGTTTTGTATAATCATGGTCTATCCCAATTGGTTTATTCCCGTAAAGATTTTCCGAAATACTCAGAAATACTGTGTATGACCCAGAAATCGAACCCTCCTCAGCAGTCGCGCTTTTGAGCAGTTTACGTAATCTTAAGTTTATTTTAAATAACAATAAATTACAAAAAAGTGGTGCCATGCCAAACTAGCAACATTAGATACGAATTATATTTAATTAAAAATTCAGTGGTTCATTGTTTTTCTTCATTTAATACGAACTTACCTGACCTTCAAATAACGTAATAGTTTTTAAATCACTGCTGTCTGAATAAAAGATTAGAAAATTTCTATCTAATATTTAGTTAAATGCTCATTTTTAAAGTACTGAATTTTTCATCTTTATATCGCCAATTTAGTTTTCTCCTTAATAGAAGTACCAAAATTCGCAATTTTTGGTCCTTAATTAATAAACCTACTCTTTAACTAACTTTACTTCATACATGGAAACGTCGAAAAATTTGGACAGCCCTAGACTATGATAATTGGATAACAGTGAACAAACTTACGTCTGGATCCTTCTCATATGAACATTTGTGTACTTCGAACGCTCTCTGGCATCTGTCCTTATCAGGGGTATCTGGATAGTACAATTTGTTATTTTAATAACATCAATTACTATTTTATCACTATTCTTTCTCTCTTGGGCTCCGTAGAGTTTCCAAACAATTGTGAGACTGCATGTTTGGTCTAGTATCTGCGCAACTGGCTCTGTTTCGCAAATCCGTTTCTTGGATGTAACTATTTTACCTATTTTAACACTGTTTTTAAAGTAACTATCGTGAGACATACTAAATTAACTAAGATCGCGGGTTATTTATGAGGAAGAACCCGTCTGTGGTTCGAAACTAGTAGAGCTTTTCTCAGTATATTCACGTGAGTAACCCGCGATTTTAGTTATTTTATTTTAACTCTGTTCTAATAATCTAAAATTGATACAACAATTAATGACGTGTGAATACTTATAAACACATTGTACCAACCGAGATGTTTGCATGCGAATATCATTTTGGTAGTTCTCTCGTAGTACTCGTCCGGGATCAGACTGACGAGCATGTCGTAGTCTACTGTATCATCATCGTCGACCTGCCACACAGATTATTAACTAACTTAAACTAAGACTTAAATAACTCAAAGTACTATAAATATAATTAAAAATATTGAACTGAATATCATAGTTATTCGTCTAAAAAGTACAGTCAATTATCCCTGGCAAGTCAGCCACTTCTACTTTATAGAAGAGTATTGCAATACAATAACAGTACAAATTACACGGACAATAATCAAACTCAACGTGAAACATAAACCGCCTCAAAGTTCACTTTGACAAGTCTTTCAAAAACACAACAGAGTTATAAAAGATTCGTACACAGGAAACGTATTGTAAGTACATTAAAAGTCAAGGTAACATTACGGAAACATTAAAAGACAAAGCGAAGGAATTGAATTAAAAATAAATTAAATGCCTGTTTGTATCTAATTTCGTTCACAGCAGTGAAGAGAGATACAAACAAAAGACAGATAACTCACGAGACTCGCTTCCTCCAGCAGGCAAAACATATAGCACTTCAATTTCGCGTCCTCCTTAAATATGCCGTTTTCGCAATTCGTTATATCCTCTGGGGGCAAGTAAGAATAAAGACTCTTTAATGTACGCAAACATGAGACATTGTATTTGAAAACAATGCTAGTGGGAGGGGTAACCTTTAGATATTATTAAGTAACAAGCAACGTTTTTAAAATTCACAGTAGTGACTTAGTAATAACAATGTGCTCTGATTTCGTTTCGTTTACTTAAATTATAAAGGTGCCTACTCTAGGCCCTTGTTGAGGCTGTGGGTGGTAGCTTAGCGGCGCCGATTGCTTGGCGTCATTCGCATGCTAACAGAGAACAAAGGTGGAAGAAAATTTTCTTTTGAACACTCACCCTCCGCGACCCCTGTTTTAGCGACACACTCGTCGTGAACAGTTTGTATTATTTCTTTGATTTCGTCACTAAAAACCTGTAACAGAAATGTAGTTATGAATATTGGCAGGTTCACTTGCTTCGACTTATTTATTTACATTTACACTGAAGTGATACTTAGCTACTAATCCGTACAATAGACTAATCCGTAAGTTCAAACTCTGAGAGCTTTCAGAAAACAGTTCTGAAACATTTGTGTAATATATTAACTGTCTGCACCAAAAGAACACTCAGACTAACCCCTAAGCGATATCTCAAACTACTTACACAAGTACCTACTTCCACAAACTTGCCACACATTAGGTCCACAAAGTTCTCCGAGATTTCCTTATTAAATCATTTTCTGTCTGCATTATTTAGCGTAGTCGGCGAACCGCTGAGACACCCCGGTCTCTTGATCTACACGACTACCTTTGCGAACAACGACGGGGGGAAATAAGTCGTTTCAATATTAAAAATGAGATAACATTCTCAAAGAAAATATTAAGTCGCGATTCCCCCGGGAGCAACCCAATGCGCATCAACTTGTATCATAATGTTAAATATTAATTTAAATGGTGAGCGACTGTCTCCATTGTTGCCGTTCTGAATTTTCAATTGACATTTTCGTAAACCTACTGCAAATATCGAAAGAACAACGTAATTAATGAAATGTTTATCTTTCATTATTCCTCATTCTGAGATAATTCATTCATATTGCATTTTCCTGTGTTTCAATTAAAGCCATTCTTTAATTGAGGAATTACACACTAACAACTGTATTAATCTTACAAAATTACATTTATTATACTTAACCCGATCCCTTACATCAATAAATAAGTGGTTGCACCTAACGTCACGGAGGGGTTGACCGAAGTGGGTCAAACAATAATAAGCTCCTGACTCGAAATGACATTTGACAGCTTGGTTTGACCTGAGAATCTAAAAGGGTTACATGTCCGGGATCGCCCGTTCAAGATTGATAATTAGACATTCTATATGTTTGAAATAATGTCGTTTGTCGTATGACCCCGGACACGCGCTGCGGTGGAGTGGCGGCCGCGCACGCGATGCATAACGTATTCGCGCTCGGCGACATTGAGCAATAGTGTCGCCGCGGTTCTCCGTCACTCATCCATCACACTGACACACCGCGCCCTTACAAACACTTCATAAACTCTGTTAACTTAGAAAATTCTATTTTAAATTCGATGTGTAACTGATGTTTTCCAAACTATTATTTTCGTCAATATTTAAACTGTCAAATAAAGGTTAAACTCGTGTTCATACATCCACCACTAACAACTCCATTTATTGAAGTTTACTTTCTTGGTAATTTAATAAAAAGTTAAAAACTTACTGACTTTATTACAATAACTTGTGAGTTACCTATACTTTAAGAAAATTGTTATTTCCAAAACATAACTAACTCACCGGCTTGTTCTTACCGCCATGAGTAAGAGCAACTAAAATGACAAAGAGGGGCAGCGCCTCTGTGAACATGGCGCCCCGCTGCCTCCGCGCCATTGCCACGGCACACTCATCGGCTGCTCTTATATTACCAACTCCACCCCAACTAAATCACACAGTTAAGGCACATAGTTAACTCGGCAGTTATACAAAGCCAGCAATTAACGCGTTAAAGGTGTTACGCTACTTGCAGCACAAGCGGTAATCATGAGGCGGAAACTTTTCGAACTATGAATGAGTAAGCAACTAGCTAAATACAAGGTGCAACTCAGCCTTAACATAACTTATTAAGTATTCTGTCTGATACGGTGAGCTATATCAGGAAAGGTAGATAAAGAACATCGCGTCGTTTCCTTGAATATTTTGACTAAATCTGGGAAACCAAATAAAAACGTAAACTATAGTAATTCCTAAAAAGCCTTTTTTCATATTTTTATGTCTTATTTTATTTGTCTCGAAGTAAAACCTCTATTTTGACATAATGGTAGTGCTGGCAAAAACTCACTGAAAAAAGGTTGGTAGCCATAAAATATTTAAAAGAAAGTTCGATTTTTTTTTCTTTTTTTTAATGGCTGTCGATTTATTTTTTTCGTATAAAATGGGCAGCTATAATGGAAATCTGAAATGAACGGAGGAAATAAGGTTGTATATTTTTATAGTTTAATTAATACTTTGTGCTCTTTATTGCAGTGTAAAAATAAAGATTTTGTATTTAAGATGTTTTTATAACTTTTCTTTCTATAAATTCTTACACGATATACAGTATCAATCATTTCCATGTTTGAGCAAGAAATTACTCCTTTAAATAGATAATTGTAGTTGCATCTTAACAGGTCATCAAACATTAAATAACAAGAAGGGCTAAAGTTCAGCGTTTCCCGAGTCATTTTCCCACTTTATCACAATAACGTTTCCACCATGAACAATGAATTGGGGCTTACGTGTTTTTGTTCACCCTCCATTGTATCCTACACAATAATAATTATAAAATTAATGTCATAATTTGCTATGTTCGCTGACGTAGCGGCCACAATACCCCGGCTATATCGCACTTAATGATTATTAATGGTCCGAAGACAGCTTTGAAAATCACGCTTAACTTGTAGGCCAGCAAATTGAACCTTAAATTCATACGAATTAGCATTACGTCATATATTGGATCGTAATCCTTATGATTGGAAAAACTCGAAATACATACATAATCACGACATTTCCCCATTGTAAATCCCTTCACATCACAATGAAACACAATAATCAGAAAAACAAGTGACAAACTATTCTGTAGGTCACCATGTTCCTATAATGCAAGTTGAAATCTTATTATTTAATATTATCTAATATAAGATTTTCTAAATGGAAATAAGCACTCCATTCTCCAGTCTATGTTCCACTGTAGAATTAAGTACAATAGTGGAACTTAGCGGCGTCACTCGCAACCACTACATAAACAAAACAATGTACTAACTGTCAACGTTAATTATCAACTCTAGATGATAACCAACCCTAATTAAGTAGGTATTTGATAAAATTATTCAGAATATCAAAAATAACAACGATGCAAATTTCAAGGAATCGGATTACTATCTTGCAACGCAACGCAACGCAAGTTGATCCCTACCTAGTAAAACAACGTAGTGCTTTTTTCCAATATTCGATTATCTTCCACGCATTGATACATTTATACCTATGCCGTGTTCAATCGACATGAAAAATCCATTAGAGTTGTTTGCGTCGGCGACTGGGCCGATAGGCGTCGCCAGTGACCATGCCTAAGAGGATTTGTTGCTTCCCTGTTGGCTGCAGCATGCATCTCTGCATTCGTTAGCTGTGCATGCGCATTCCGAACGTAACAACGAGCCTTTCGATATGAAACGAATTGTTTTCTAACAATTTAGATGTGCTTAGGTATGGATAGATACGTTAGTTTTGCTGGTGTAACAAAAAAGGCTTTCGTTTCGATTTCGATTCAATTACATTATTTTGTTTCAATTATATTCTAACACTATGCTATCGTCAGCTTACTAAAGTTTTCTCAAGTGCTCGTGAGTAGGTGAACACGAATGCAAGAGTTGTTCTAGTTTCATACTTCACAATAAATCCATAAAGCAATTATCTATCCGTATCTGTCGTCGACCTCGTCGTTCCACACCTCATGCACTCTACACTTGCGACAAAGCACTCGAATAACCAAAAAACTAACTTTCCGTGTTATAAAAATTCCAGCTCCACGCTACCTAGTAAACAAGATAACTAAAAACGTTCGCTAGTGAAATTCAGACATACGACTATACGACGTCCTGGCAAAACTGTTGACTAGTTTTGGTAGGAAAGTTTTTACAATATTTCTATTGTATGTAAACTCGTCCGACTATTGCCGACGCGGGTAACAAGTAAACTTTTACATACGTATGTAGTTGTAGTTGCGCTCACAGCCACCAAGTTTGAGTGCCGGCTGAGATAAGAGGACGACTTATGTGTCAACAGCATCTCTAATCATCCTTCAAAGTTTTATACAAATTACCATACTCTCCATATAATGTTTGCATCATTTGCATTTACTTACAACAGCATTACAAAATAATTTTGATATGAATATTTTAACTTATGTACAAAATTATAATCAACATGCCATTAATTTGAAATTGTGAAAACCTATGTTAATGTTCATCACAAAAATTCGAAAAGAAATACTATTTAATTTTCATTAATTAAAGAATTTTTTTACAGTTTCAGAATTTTATTTACCCCTTTTGCCTAAGGACGTTGAGAATAGGCGGACATAGTCTCTTGCAACAACGACTGTGGCACCTGGTTACTATAGACTTCCACGCAGAACATAAACATATTGACACGAAGGACAACTGACATTTCCTTAAGTCTGGTAACGTAGTAACCCATTACACACGTACACATAATTAACCCACCGACATTTGGTAGCTTCAATAATTTCTAAGTGGCATTATGTCCGCCTTTTTTTCAACGTCCTTGATTTTGCCTATCTGAAAATGAAATAAGGAGTTTATCAAAATAACTACACTTGTCACACTTATTTTTAAGGGGGGAAATCATCGAATGACTTGTCCCGCCTGGGTGAGGCGGGAGGGAGTGTCAGACTCCTACTGACTAAAATCACCCCGTTTCTACTCATGCACTTCGACCCGGAGCCCCGGTAACCCGTTATGTTCTCCGTGGGACACTTGTCATACTTGACATTATAAAATTATCATTATAAATGACTCCAAATGCTTACTCATGTATCCACAGTCCTCAGGCATAATTGGGTCCATCTATTTGTTCCACTATCACAATTCAAACTACTAAAGGTACACAACACAGAGTTTGTCAATGTTTCAAAACACAATAGGCTCTACAAACCCAATAAATTAGTATTGTTTGACCACTATAAACGGAACTGGCCAACTGAGAAAGAGCAATTGGATTGTCTTCCGACCCTTGCACTCAGTGACAATAAATGTTGGCCATCTCTGTCAGGGACCAAACGTTGAATAAATGAGCTTAGTGTAATACAAAATGTTGATACAAAATGTTGGGTATTGGACGTAGATAGACATTCGAATTTTCTTATGGGATTCAAAAACGAGACAGTAGTATTCAAATACAACATAACATAATGTTATTTGTCTACTTAAGTAGCTGATAGTGATTGTAAATAATTAGATATTTATACAAAACTAACGACACGTTAACGTGTTATGTCGTGCAGATGCTACAAATTACCACGAGTAATGAAAGCGCTTTCAGAAATTTACCTATAATAACTCTGAAAGGTTTACTTTTGATTAAAAATAACTAAAACACGGACATCATTAATTTGTAAAGCAATAATCATTTGAAGATAGTGAGAAGAGACAAGTGGCGAGGAAGTCGGAGACTCGGAGAGACGTCATTACCGCAATCAAAGCCGAAAGCCGCAGCAAGCCACGAGCCCCCGCACCCGCTAACGACGAGTGCTCTCGATAAAAATTAAAAACACGTGCAAGCCCAGCCTGAGGAAAGTTTTAATGAGAGTATACGGCTCGTTCACGTACAGATACATATATCTAGGTCCCTGTCGTCTACACACGCCACATATACCTATGTACGTACCTCCGTATTCATCTAATTACGACAGTTTCTAAACATTGAAAACTGACAATTTGTTGATGCCTGGCAGCTACGTGAATTTTACATTTTAAAGAACACTGTTCCTAACTTTCTCGTAGCATTTTCTTGAATTTAAGGTTCAATAAGATAATTAATAGTTACCTGTACATGTCTAGTTAATCACTAGGCCGTTTGAATAAAAAGAGAGCTTTTTTTTAATTATAAAATATTTCAAAGTTTCTTCTTAAAATCAATAAGAAGCTAATTCTGCTGTAATTAGATCGTAATCTATATTGAAGCATATTTGCTTTCAAGTATTAGTTTGTTACATTTTAATGTAGTTATGTAATGTTAATATGTAAGTATTAAGTAACTCTATTATAATGTGACTGCAATAGTACCTCCATTACAATGTAACTAACCTATCGACATGACATGCACATGCAAATCTTTTTACACAGTCATAATAGACGTGATATAAATACATAGATTAGGTGCGAAGAGACGACACCTGTAATTATACTTAAAGTGTAATTAAAAATCATAGACCTACCTATTTAATAACTAGTGTGCAATAACACTTTTGAACTGTGCTGAGTTTAGCTCATGTTACAACAGTGTACCTACTGTGCTAATTAAGAACTATGTTATTCATGTTCTCAAAATATACACCACCTACCTTAACTAACAAAAAATAAATCATTAAAGAAGAAGCTAGACCAGTTTTTACCATCAAACCAATTTATCTAAAAGTTCAATAGATGTGTTAAAATCTTCTATCTAAAACGGTCAGTTCGATAAAAATAAAACTGATTTATAGTGCGCGAGTAAAATCTTTTTGGCAAGGTGCATTTTCCATTTTATGCATATCGGTATATTTTTCGGCAACATAAAAAATCCATTAGATTTGTGCATTGGCTTAACGAGCGACGACGTGGGGTAGACTCGGAGCAGGCCGGCGGCGGCTGCAACCCTCAGTTGACCGTGCGTAAGCGGCTTTATTGCGTTCCTATCAGCGTCACCGAGCTGTAATAGACAGGTGAACAATCTGATAGCCGTTCCGTGTATCTGTTCTAATCCAATTGTACGACAACATGCCTCGTTATAATTTCGTTGCACACTGCGAATTTGCATTCATTACAATTTGTACTGAATATTCATTTAGCTACAATGCCTATACATAATTATGTGTGTACCTAAATACAAATCACGTGTCCTAACTATGTTATGAGAAGAATTATAATCTCAGTCAAATGCTTTTTGATCTATTATAAGAAAATGCAAGAAACGACTGACCTAGATGTATAGGTACTTTTACATAATGTTCCTACCAAACGTTCAATCTAAGAATCAACATAATATTTGATTGATCAGTCTGTTATATTACAAGTAGCTATACCTATGTTCGTGGATATATGAGATTACACGTAGGTAGGTACGTATTTCCTGCGGTTTGATACAAACTAATGATGTTATATGTATATAGGTACCTAATCTGACTTGATAAGCTCGCTATCTACAAACAAGAGCTAATTAATAGAGTCAGCATTTCCGTGATTAGGTATTATTATTACTGCTTGAGTTAAGTTGTGTTTTACTCAATATGTAAGATGTATCTTAAATTAAAAAGGTATCTCTTATAAATCTTATGACGTAGATAAAAATATTAGCTGAAATACTATCTGTAAAATATTTGCATATAAACTACGTTTAGGTATACCTACCTACATTCCTACCTACTCTAACAAAATTAAAGACTTCACGATTTCATTAGTATTACAAATTAATGTTTTTATCTGTGAAATGTTATCCATTGTAAAGATCCCAATTAATAACAAAAAGAGTACAAAAGTTTTAATTTCAGTAGAGTCATCAAACAGACAGATTTTATTAATCTCAATAACGCTCCTTCACTCTGCGCAGTTGGGTAAAAACAGGAATAAATTGTGAGAATCTTTGCAAAACAATAGTTGGAAATGGTGTACGCGAGAAAAAGCCGGATGCAAATGCCATTCATATTAATTAGCAAAGCGAGACGGGGCTTTTACGAAATTAGACCGTGATTTCACTGAAGATTTATTGTTGTGTTTGAAATGGTTTTCGGAGCAAAGGTAGCCATTTAGACGCAAGTAAATTGGTGTTGTCAAAGCGGGTTTTAAATTGAATTGAGTGAAGTCGCTTGTTTGCTTTGAAGGGTGAGTCATGAAAAAAGGTGGAAAGCTGCTAATTTATTGGCTTCGTACGACGTAGCGTATGGAAAAGTGGGAGCTTGATGCGAATGATTGATGACCGCCGGGCAACTCACGGGGATTGCGGCGACTGCGGGACACGCGGACACACCGCATAACGATTAGCTCGTAAACATAGGTAGCTACTATAATTATGTAGATAGTACTTACTTACTTAGGTACTTACTTATAATGTGGTAAAAATACTATCTATAATAGGTAGCTAGATGATAAGTAATGTCGACACACGTTGTATATGTGAGGTATTACCTATAACACTGTAGGTGCCAACTTCAACTAAAAATAATTATTAGAATAGATTGAATCAAAATCAAGGTATCTAAGTACATATGTTGTATTGTACCTATGTGTAGACGTGTCCGTAGGTAATGTTATCTCTTAGATTTCACTATACGGCTGTCGCGTTGGCTGCGAAACGGGCGGCGTCTGCCAAACAGTCTCGAGTTCGATTCCCAGAATGCTGGGACTAGGATTGTTTTTCGAAATTTTCTCCCTAGGTAGATAATAGTGCATAGAACGGAACATTATTATCCTTTATTTATAGAGTACCTTATTTCAAATGGTCCCTAAAAATTTAATAGGTCCTAACTTAGATTGTCTCGTTAGTCAAGTGATAGCAACTGCCACTGTTAAGTAGAATGTCATACATCCTGATTTACCCGTCAGGACGTTATGTAGGATGTGAAGTTTAATTTTCAGGCCAAGCGTTGTAGGGTTTTTTTTAAAGGGGAAAAATCATCGAATGACTGCTCCCGCCTGGGTGAGGCGGGAGGGAGTGTCACTCTTACTGACTAAAATCCATCCCGTTCCTTCTCCTGCACGTCGAGCCGGAGCCCCGGTTACCCGTTAGGTTCTCCGCGACTCCGAAAGCGTTGTAGGGCTAGGTACCTATATTCGTATTTCGTAAATTCTGCAATAGATAGCTGAGAGACTGGAATTATGCCAATAACTTCACCCCCTGTTACATTGTTTATATTTAGGCATCGGTGATTTTAAAAGGCGTACCGCTCTAAATATGCTATAATTATGATGTTATTTCTGGCTCTCACTGTAGAGTAGAACCAAGGTTTACTCCAAAACTTCAGAACTTATTATAAAACTGGATGACATGTAAATAGGTAGGTTTCATTTCATAAACACGAATTTACAGCAAACGTTATTTAACCAACTGCAAGATAGAATTGCAAATTAGGTACCTACCTAATGTAAGGAAAAAATAAAACGAAATAATCATTTGTGCATTTTATTTTTATATTATAGGTATAATTAATTCACATGACATCACACTGGTCCTAAATGGTACCCTAGTACCCGTTTATGAATAATTTACAAAAAAAAATATATAAAAATTAGATAACTATGTTAATTAACAATTGTTAATGGAAAGTTGACGGCAAGATACGTAAATGCACATGTTTATTATCAATTTCTTTGCATATATAACTTGGGTACATGAAATATACATGGGTATTATATGTCTAATATTAAAGGTATATAAGAGCATGTATAACAATACCTTTGTATTGTTACACATGCTCTATAAAGCGCTCTATTGAGCATGCTCCAAAATCTCACGCCTCTCGATTCGCAAAGCATACCCGAAATGAATATTCTTTCAGACATGAAATGAGCATATGTATAACAGTACCTTATATATCGTATAGGGGCAAGACCACACAATTACTAAAACGATTATTTTTATTAATAAATATGAACGCGGTTAATAGCTGACACACAGAATCTTTTCGAATTAATATTTGAGGCGTGAAAATTAAATTAAAATATTAGATTATTATTTATAAGACAGTGACATTACGTAAGTAGGTATGACCTAAGTATTCCATTAATAAATAATTTGATTGTATCTTCTATCAGAGATAACTCGATTGTCAAGTTATCAAGATCTTTATTTCATATATTTAATAAAACAATATAACATGTACCGAATGTGATAATGAAAAGTCATATTGAAATAAGTATAGTTCGGTAGATTGTATGTTTTCGTTAGTTACTAAAACCAATAACACCATACCTGTGTATATTACTCACTATAAACTTATGTGTGAATTATTATATTATTAGTTAAAATTAAACAAGCTTAGTTCTAGTATTTTCCTGGTTACAAAACAGTACAAAATTATATTGGCACTAGTGACGAATGTTACAGACAAGAAAAAATATTGATATTATCAGAGCTTATCAGAAAAAAATAAAGCAAAAAATATATAATTTTGAACTATACTTATTACATAAATAAGTACGAATTATATTACTATTAATAGTTCTATAATGAACGCGCCATTTAAAAAATATAATTTATTCCTTAAAAAAGCAAATAAACTACGTCTTACTTTATTATTGACAATATTGTGTAAAAATGTTAATTCATATTTATATACCTACATTTGGCAAAATTTCGATGTGAGTTGGAAAAAATAGAAAAACAATAAAAAAAATAAAAACTGTTTCCAACCATTATTCTAGGCTGGAAAACACGACTTTTTTATTTCTCATATATGTAAAATATATTACGTTTCACAAAGTATGTTCTTCAATTTATACAATTGTTATGTCAACTGGGAAAATAATTATTATACACATTAGCCTCATAACTTATTTTCACACACGCGGTTATGTCCATCTGCGTATAATATATAATATAGACACAACTGTAATGCATAAAATTTTAACACTTCCCTCTACTTAGTCTTTTCGACATTGAGATACCAAACATTTTAACAATAATTTAGGATTTTTTTTTTTAGTTTCAGTTCTACTAATAAAATAAATACAAAGGCAGATTTATTATTTGTGTTGCTTTTGTACCTAATAAATGCTAAAGATTAATATTATTTGCATGTAGAAAAAATATTTAGTTAATTTAACCAACTAACTATGCAGATATGACGTGGATTTATCAATAAACATGTTTAAATGTTTCATGTTGTGATATACAAACCATGTTTACATAACCTATGATATTGATAATATAATATTTACTACAAATTAATTAGCTTCACACCACATTTAGGGATACTAAAGACAATACTAACTAATTAATAAATAGTTGATTACAAATTAAATTATCATTGCAACTTTATAAAAACAATTATAAATTGCCAGCGTTTGCAGTGTGAATAGACGTTTTAAAGTAAGTGTGAGCCTACATCCTTAATCCTAATGCATTAAATATCATTTTCACAAGTTTACATAATATGTAATTAATTATTAATGTAGTTACTGGTTTATTATCAAGACTCTACCAACTGACTAACTCATAAAGCATAAGTAGAAAAATAAGTAAATAAAAAGGTACAAAAATACAACAGCTTGATATAGTTATCACTAAATGCAGTAACAACCTGAATTAAAACATTTTAAATGCTTAAATTAATATTAACTTGTTCATTGACTCACTAGGTTTAGGAAACACAACCCATTAAAGCTTACTTAACATAGATAATTACAAACCAAACAAAAAATATATTTAAAACATATCACCAACTTTTCCTTACATATTTAAAAAAATTTAATACTTTAATAGCCTTTTTTTAGTTCCCAAAATACACCCATTGTATAGTTTTTATCCATAAAATACCTAATTGATTAGAGAGTATTACTTAGAAAATACAGCAATTGCTTCATTCAGTATACAACAAATACAAAACAAATTAAAAACAAAGGAGTGACTAATTTAAGCATAATTGTATATTAGTTACACTGCACAGAACTGCAAGGTCGAGAATTAAAAATCGCATGAAGTAATATGAGCAATTTGCATTTGAGCTTTAATTGACATACCTAATGATTTTTTTATTCAAAGTGTTGTAGAATATTGTGCATGTTTGGCCGATAAAATTTATTCTGTCACAAACATGGAGGTGGTAAAGGCATATCAATCAATTTGCATACTTCTAATAGGAAATTTTTCAATATATTTGGTTGGTTGTCTCTGGATCCATTAAGTGTTATTGTTGGTATAAATGTTGGTTTCAGTATATGAGTATCATCCCCATGTTTCTTTAAAAGAGCTGATCCATGGTCATTCTTTGCACAGTAGCTGATTGGGTCAGGTTCAATCTTCATTTCCTTTGCACACTGCAAGAATTTATGATCATAATAAGTACAGGTATTACACCAACATGGTACATATTATTTCAATAAAAAGACTTCATTTCTTAAATTTCATATAAATCAAAAATATATGTGATATTTACCCTAGCGAGAGCACCATCAGCATCCATATTATCAGAGATCATGCATTCTGTAATCTTGACAGAAGTTGTCATGTTCGCCACAGCCTCTATTGCACAAGCATGGATCCTATTTGCATAGCACTCCTCTTCACCATGCTGACATTGAAAATAGTACTTTCCATTCTCTTCTTTGGTCTGTAAAAATTTAAAATACATTACCTACACTCAGTACACTACAGCATATATTTAACTCGTCGAGTACCGGTTTTATAGACACAATTAAATAACAATAGGTCGCGGTCACCGGTGACCGCTTGGTGTTTGACAGATTAAATAGATGTTAGCTATGTATGACTATGTAGGTCAAACATCCAAAATTCAGTCATCATCATATTTTTATAACAATGCCACATGATCTTGTTCAAGTATATCAAATCCACCATATTTTATAAACATGCCTTTTCAGCTTGAATTCTGCAATAATATTATGTAAGTATAATTGAGTTGTTGTAAGAAACTGTAGATGTGTATGTGGTAACTGGCAGGCGATAATATATAACAAGTTTTTACACAATTTCAATTTATTTTTATTGTATAGTACTAAAGCTTATTCAAAATTTAAATAAAACTGTAAAAGTGGAAATTGGTGTCACACTGGTTTATTTATTTATAACATATACACAAGAATTTGGGTTAAATATTGCATATTTACCTTGAACACCAGTTAGTAATTTTAATGACTAATAAATTTTATGCCTTTTTAAATAGGTAGGTACCTATAAAATACATGTTACTTACGTATAAACATGTGTTTAGTAAAGTATACTTACAGTAGCTTTGCCATAGGGTACTAGGGTTACATCTAAGAATTCGGACAGTTTCTCAGTCACTGGGCCCAAATGTCTCACAAAGAAATGTTTGGAGTCAGGGCAGAGAGCTTCATAGTAAACCCTCACTTTTACTTTGTCTTGTTTATGTTTATTGTATTTGTCATCCTCCAACTCCACTATGCCAGCCTAGAAAATAACAATTTATGCCTAAATTAGACATTTTTATATGCATATACAGCCTTCAGTTTCTGGGTCTACCCAGAAACCTTGATTTCACTTTCAAAATTTCATTCACCATTGTGTGACTTATCTACATGTTCGGTTTTTCCAAAAATGTCGTGATATGTGGGTTGGCAGATTTATTGTATTTTTAATTTAATATAAGCATAGTAGGTAGGTATATTGTAGAACAATCAATGTAATTGTTGAATTTGAAACTTGGATTAACGAAACTAAAATATACAGTTTAATCTGCATTTTATAGATAATAAGTTATTTATATACTAGTAATGGATATCGTACATACCTCCGAAATTTGTGTGACAGGTTTATCTGGCAAAAGTCTGAAGAACTGCCACATAATCAAAACCAAAAGTAACAAAACTATTAATCTGTATCTATTACAAGCATAAAATGCCATTTTAATTGATACAACTTAATTAATTTCATCCAATGTTTAGCGATAATAAATACACAGTCACCCTATGTTTAGAACACCACAATTTAATAAGCAGATGTTATCACTAACTTGTCAATACTTTGCCTCGTTAAGAGATATTACACTTGAATGAGACTATTTTATGAAATCTATAACTACTTTTAAGAATACCATTTAAATTAAATTCATTTTTAAATTACTAATTTTTATACTACACGCACAATGCTATGTAGTAAACACCTTTCAATGAATGAAATGAAGTAATGAACGAAAGTCTTGACTTTGACATTTCGTCTCATAATTTTGACAGTCATGTGACCACTTCGCTCATGACGTTGACATTAGGAATAACTTACACTGTCGGAAATTCGGAATGCACTCTTTTTTGTTTTGAAAGAGTACATACCTTTAGTTTTTTCTTTTCATACATAACAACATCACGCCTTTTACCCCCGAAGGAGTAGGCAGAAGTGCACATTATGCCAGTGTACAATGTAACACCCACTTTTCATAATTTTTGTTGAGTCTCATGTAATAGGGGGTAAGCCTATTGCCATCTACCCGGCACAATTCCAGGCTCCGTGCTACTACCGAGATTTTTTAAAAAACCTAGTAGGTAATACTTTGCTCGTCCCGGGAATTGAACCAGAGACCCCTTGCCCGGCAGTCGCACTTGCAACCACTCGGCCAACAAGGCAGTCATTCATGTTTTTTCTTTTCAGTTAGAAATGGGCAATTTAAATAATTTCACGTCGTGGTGGCCCGGAGGTTTATAATAATAATAATAATAATAAACATTTATTTCAGAATAAATTCCATATACGATAGACAGACAATGCAAACTTATAAACTATTGTTGTAGCTACATTATTGTTAGTAACAGTATGAACTTATAAACTAGTGTTAGTACATATATTATACGAGCATGAGGCTCGCCGAACCTGGGGATGTCTACTTGACTGCATGCAGTCGTATCCACCGCCCCAAGATCGGAGAGTCCCACCTTTCAGCCAACGCTCCGAGAATGGTGTTGGGGCTGTCGCGAACCCGGCGAAGCATAGATGCGCATCTCTTACGCATGATGGTAGCGAAACTATCAACATCGGCGTCGGCAAACATGCCGGACGCGCTACAAAATCGCGGCAGCCCCATCAACACCCGGAACGTGTTGTTATATTGGGTGCGCAGGCCACCGTATGCCCTCTGCGTAAAGTCCACCCACAGGCTGCACGTGTAAAAGGATTGGCAGTAGGCTTTGAAAAGCGTCACCTTTACCTGAGCCGTACAGCGTGCAAACCTGTGGGCCAACATCCCACAACGGACAGCCAGCGACCTGCGCTCCCGTTCAATATCAGCGTTGTCCTTCAAGTCGTCTGAGACCCAATGTCCCAGATATTTAAACTTAGCGACTCTATTTAGAGGTCTCCCACAGAGCATAACTGGTGGGATTGTGTTATAAGATTTATTACCTGCTTTGAAAACCATAAGTTCGCTCTTCGTCGCATTATATATGAGCCCATGAGTCCCAGCATAAGATTCACATACGTCAATCAGTTTTCTCAAGGCCCTGACCGATGGGCTCAGCAGAACCATGTCGTCAGCATAGCTTATATTATTAATGCATACACCATCAATATGACAACCTATCCCGGTTTTGCTAAGCCCATCGATCAGGTTATTCATGTACAGATTAAACAACGCAGGCGAGGACAACCCGCCCTGCCTTACCCCACACTCAAGCCTGTACTCAGCTGAAAAGGAGTTTGCCCAGCGAACACGGTTCCGCTGATTCGCATACCAAAATTTAAACATATTTATAACTTCCTTGGGCAAATCCGTCTCTTGTTGCAGTTTATCCCATAACACAGTATACGAAACGAGGTCAAAAGCTTTTGACAAGTCTAAATAGCACGCAAACACTGGTGTTTTCCTAGCAGTATAGTACTGAGCGGCTCAGGATGGCGCTCTCTGTAGATAAGCCGGCCCGAAAACCGAATTGAGCATCGTTTAACTTAAGGTGTTTATCAAGCTGGCCTACAAGCAGACTGTCCAGCACCTTAGCAATTATAGTCGCTAGAGAAATAGGTCTATAATTTGACAACACAGATGAGTCACTTGTTTTATTTTTAATTATCGGCACAACAATTGTACGCATAAGTTTTTCAGGCAAATAAGAATGACCTAGACATAAATTTAAAAACAAACACAAAACTCGTGGCAGGTGAATTCCAGCATGCTGCAAGTGCTCGATGCTAAGACCGTCATGCCCGGGCGATTTTCCCCTAACCATGTTCTTAATGGTGGTGGCAATCTGCTTCGTAGTAAACGTGACGCTTCGCGCGGAGCAAACGGTCTCAGAACCGGGCACAAGCAACTGCGGTTCCTTGCTTAAGGGGGATTGCACTCTGAAGTGCTTCCGAAACAGATCAGCAATACTGCTCTGGTCATGTTCACCTTCAACGCTCACGGGAAGGCTCGGCTTATGATTTAACTTGTTATGACGCACTTCTCATACATGAGAGTGCTGGTTTTTTTTTGGTTCGAAACCTACCAAGTAACTTAACGGCAAGTACCTGTAACTTTTTCCGAGTCATATTATGTACTTTCTAAGATTATTTAGACACCACTGACAAACGATGAAGGAAAACATCGTAAGGACGCAAGGAGGAAAAAATCGTAACAACACGCATTGAGCAAGCGTGGTGATTAATGCTCAAACCTTCTCCGTGTGAAAAGAGGCTTTGCTCTAAAGAGTATAATAAGTAAAGGCGTTCTTTGCTCAGCAGTGGGCATTTATAGGTTGTTGATGATGATGATGAATTATTGAAATAATTGCTAACGCCAATCATACACCAACATCAGTCGTACATTCCTGGTAAATAAGAACAAGGATTTCAAAATACAATAAAAAAAGAACCATTTCGATTATATTAATTTCTATTCAGTCAATTGTAAAGCAGCAAATTTTTCAACATCATAAAAACCAGCTTTAACTTGTCTTCCTCCAAAAAATCTGCCATTAAGGTCGACAACAGCTTTGATTGCACTTTCGATACGTTTAAATTCAACAAAAATTCTGACAGCTTCGTCTGGTGGTGCATTAGGCATCTCAAATATTAATACTTTTATAACATCTCCATATTTAGTATTACATTCATCTTTTACTTCAGGTTCTAATTCTTCATCTACATCTCCTGGACCAACCATATTCTGTAAAAAAATATTCTTTATTATAATATCAGGAGCAAATAAAAATAATTGAATAAAAAAAATTGACATATTATAATGACTGTTGACTCTGTGCTTTTCATAATCTGAAAAAAAAAAATCTTATATTTCTGTATTAAATAAAAGTAATACAAATTGGCACATACTCTCAACAACACCACTTTACTGGGAGATTTCATTATCTCTGTAATGGATGGCTCCCGATTAAATGAATGTGGTGAATTGGAGGCATTTGGAGAATCTGAAAGTACATAAAGTTATAATTAATAATAAAATTACTTCTTCTTTCAATGTCATTAGCCATCTAGAATCTAATCCCTTTCCAATACTTTTCAAGGCCAACGGGAATAGAGATTTTTATAATTATAAAGAGGCAGTTACCTGGTCCTGGTAAGGAAGGCATAGCAAATCCAGGTGGAGGCATAACAGAACCTCCATCCTTCTCATGAATAATGCGACCACCTCTTTTCGAAGTTTTTTCCACTTGCAGAGCCACTGACATTCCTTGTTCCTTTTTACCCAATCCTTGACCTTCCTATTGACATGAATAAATCCTTGTAATTAAGACAATAAAGCAAAAATTAAAAATGGATTAAAACTAAACTAACCAAAATATAGATATAAACTAAATAATAAATAACTAGAGCTAAGATAAATAAAAAAGTTAGTTTTATTTCCTTTATTTTTTCTATCTACAAAATTACCTTAAAACCGTATTTAGCCATGATTTTAGCTGCAACAGAACTTGCGCCGTATCCTCCAATAGAGAAGCCCACAGATGGGGGTGGTGTTTGTATGGTTGGAGGCATTGGTGGAGGGGATGCTGTTTCTACAGTCAAGGAGGGCGGAGGTGCTATTGCTGCACCAGCTGACCTCTTTGATATTTCCTCTGCTTCCTCTTCTTCTGGTTGCTACAGGATATAAAATGAATAGATTTACAATTTGAATGAACAATATTTTGAAATAACGAAATTTCACAATTCATATCAATACATTGTAACTGGGTATTATTACTTAAATACTATTGTGTGAAATCAATGAAAATGATTTGATTTACCATTGCATCCTGAAAAATATCCTGTTGCAAGATTGTAAAAGACAATTAATAAAATGTGTAACTATGGTGAAATAAAGTTAACAACATGCAACCTAACCAGTGCCATACTTAATTCTTACCATAGCCACAAGAGTTTTTTCTGGTATAATCTCCTCCTCATCACCAAACCTACTTTTTCGTTTCCTTTCTGATCGATCACCTCGATCCCCATCTGACTGCAATCTTTTTGCTTGTATTTCTGAAACATATCAGGACTTAAATGTTTGTGCAGCAATTTTCCATAAACTGTAGTTGATAGATGAAAACACTCTGTAAACACTTGAGTGCTGATAATCTACAAAATTATGTAAAAGAAAATAACCACTTCTAAAATCAAAGTCAAAATCACCAAGGAAGACCATTTTGAATGTCAAAACAAAATATTAAAACAATTAAAAGTCTGTTAGTAGGTTCTCTAGTGAAGCTATTTGCTCATTCCAAAGAGCAGATTCCTATAGAGAAGAATGAGCACAAAACTCCATAGGTTACTCCTTTTCAATCAGGTTCCTAATTCTACTAGTCAATTTAATTTATTCAATTAGAGGGCTCTTACATTTATATAAATGAAAATGAATTTCTGTTCATTAGTGTTTAAGGTAGAATAATCTTGGTAAAAGATGCACTCAGCCAACGTCATACTACTATTAAAATTAATATTTTATTAGTAGTTTATATCTTAATTAAGGTCAGACTGGGAGAAAATGTCTGCGGCATTAAGTCCACCTTATGTACATTTTGTGCATGAAGCTTTAAACAAATAAATAAATTCAAGCTATGGTTTCATTACCGGCAAAACATTATGTTGTTTGCTTTGACACAAATTAATTGTCTCGCTCTGTCCGAGGTACTATATACTATATTAAGACTTATTGAAACATCAATGTTTTCCGCTATCCCGTAGACCAGCCTTACTGTCAAGCATTTTATCCTCTATATAACCATTAAGTTATTGTTTGTCTATGTAACATTTTTTTAATATATTATTTTGTTTCATTTAAGTGTTGTATTGCTACCAGAATTATGTTAGGGACTTATGTACTTTTGTCAATCCAAAATATGGCTGACTTAATCTATCCTTATGTCTAGTTTGATAATGGTGTCCGTCAGACACTTTACCAAACAACTGTATGTTTTTTGTAACATTTATAATGTTTTCATCAATAAATTGACATGGAACAGTCATATTATTGATCTCCTTAAACTTTTCTGTAAAAGATTCACAACAACCTGGGTTGTAGATAGGTCTGACGGCGAGCTTTTGTAAGATAAAGATCAGACTCAATGCCAGCAGCGTGTTCCCAATGCTATGGAAGTAACTGAATTATACTAGTCTTGCCGTGTCAATGTCAGTTAACTGTTGGATCTTCCAGACAGCATAAGCGGCACAGGTTAATCGTCCCGCTAAAGATGTAATATGAAGACCCCATTGCAATTTGTTCCCTGTGGTCTCTTTTACAAATTCTAATTTCTGACTATTTAATAAAAATTCACATTTGTTATCTTTAATATTTGGCAAAACTAATCTGATACTATTTCGTTTTTTATTGTTTAGCACTGAGCTATTTATTGTAAACCAATATTGAACCTTCATCAGAGTATTATTTATGTAGTCATAATTATTTGTTTGTATGTTTATTTTAAAATAGAATGATGTGTCATCAGCAAATAATACAATATGCGGTTCATTATGAAATAAATGGGGCAAATCCTTTATATATGCTAAAAATAGCAATGGACCTAGTATTGAGCCCTGCTGTACGCCTATAGATATCGCTAGCATATCTACCTTGTGACTTTGCTTTATTTACTTGTACTGTATGTATGTTGCCTATCCTGAAATTACATTCGACAATACCTTTGGCAACCTTTTCATAATCATTAGGCCACATTGGATCATATTCATTAGCAACATTCCAATCAAAATCTCGAACATTCAGCGAAGCAGTCAATGTTTTTCCTTGGCTTTTAGGGCTGTTTGAATTAGATTCGTCGTCATCCTTTTGTTTGCTCTTCAAATCTATTACCGGAGTAAGCACCTGAAGATTGCAAAGATATTAAAACCTCTTATTCAATTAATATACTTCTTATCAACATTGAACAATAATAAAATTGTTATCACCTGAGTAGAACGTCGTAAGGCTTCACGCTTGGGCTGGGTGACTGCTGCTTTTTTTAATTGTAACTGCGATTGTAATAGTTTTATTCCCGAAGACCAACCCGCCACCTTTTCGGTGGTTCGAGCTTTAATTGTATCAAGATCGTCATACAGCGACATCCTTGTTTATGTTTACCAACGCATACAACAAGAGTTTGAAATACACCGCCTACAAAATAATAAATGTTGAATTGGGCGTAGCTTGCTAACTTCACAAATATACATAAACAATCATTAAAAAATTGTTCATTAACACAAAACAACACACCGTAATCCAGCAGGCAGCAATAGCCAAAAAATCCACAATGTAAATGTAAACAAAATGTCACTGTCAACTGTCATGGTTTACTTCATAGACCATAGATAAAAAAGTAGAAAAGGAATAGACAAATCATTTTCTCATTACTAACTTCTGATTCACAGTCACAAGTTACGATTAGCTAGCCTTTTCGCTGTTCGAGATAGCCAGCTGATTAGTAAGTTAAAGTTGCAGTGAGCAGGGTACATAGCTCAGAAAATCGTACATAGCTCAGAAAATCGACGGCTGCCGCTGGGGCAGAAAGGTTATCGAGTGGAGGCCACGTAGATACTAGCAAGCGCCACGTAGGAATTTCAACCACATTCCTACAAGATGGACAGAGTCCAGAGAACCTAATTAAGGTCGCAAGTGGCCTATCTGTAAGTCATTGGAAGAGGCCTATGTTCACTGTTCAGTAGTGGACGTTTTGTGGCTGATATGATGATGCGGATGATGCTATGGTTTAAGAATACGAAAAAATTATAACGTACATGTACAATGCACATGGTCATATATATGAAAACAGGATCATAATTACGATTAAAGACAATATTTTATACTTAGATTAGAAGTTTTACATTGCAATTAAAGAACGTTGATAGTAATTCGACAAAACCAAAGAGTTACAATTTATATTATAAGCATACCAAACTTTTTCATTATTTTCAGGTATTGGCTCTATGATTAATTAATTTTTCATTTAAATGAATGCTACATTTTTGGAAAATTTTCGTTGTTGTTGCCACAAATAAATCTATAAATATATCTATCATATAAATTATATTATCGAAGCAATATTAAATGTTTTGTTGGAACTATTTTTACCTAATAAATGGGGACTTACATTAGTAAAGATACTCGGCGAATCAGTTTTGATAATGACTTTGCATTAAGTTCTCCTATACCCCTTCAAAAATCTATAGAAGCAGAAAATGTGATAGCATTTGATAACCTACCACCAGTGAGTTTCAATCGATTTATTATTGTCTAGATACGTAAATCGAGCTTCGTAAGCTTCATGAAGTGAAGGTGGTTCATTAACATGAGCACCATCATTTTGTATTGTCCTACGTATCTTTAGTCAAAATGTCTGCGGTCTTTGAGGACGCAGAATTAGACCTCTACTTTCTACGATTCTTTGTATATATCATTTTTCATTAGTCACACTAGAATACTAGAGTTAATTTGTAATATTTTAAGGAACCATCGGATGAAATTCTATTTAAAGACAGTACAGATTTTCAAGAAGATGGTGAAATGGATTATTGGTCACATAGAATAGATTATCTAAAGAAAGAACATCAAGTCATTAACAAAATAATTGAGTCTGAATATGATAAAAGCATTGAAATAACGAATAAAACATACGAACCTCCCAAAATAACTCATGAAAAAATACAAAAAATTAAACCTTGTTTTGATTGGAGAACAAAGGTAAATAAATTTTCTACAACTGCACTATAAAGCTGAAGAGTTTATTTGTTTGAACGCGCTAATCGCCACGCGCGAATCAACTTCAGAAAACAAAATTGGTCATATTAAATTAATGTACGAAAATAATTGTAACATACAATATGTACCTACCTAATCAATCATTCTATTTTCAGATTATGAAATGCTATGAAGAAAATTCTCATCAACCTTTGGTGTGTTCAGCGTTGGTGCAAGCTTTTACTAATTGTGTGACAAACTGCAGGTTGGAAGATTAAAATAAAATTATTTTAGAATATTTTAGATTTTTTACATCAATTTATACATGTTTTGTCAATCCACAATAAATGATTGTATTTTTATTTTTTTAATTACTGGTTATTTAATTACTTACTTGTATTTAAAAAGTCCAGTCCAGTAGATGGTTCCCAGACATATAAGTGGGACATTAATATATTTAATTGCTGATTTGTTAATCAAATCAAGTTACTGTTCTAACGTAAGGTTTGTGTACCGCTAGGATTATATAATTTTATAGAGATGGGCGGTTTTTCATATTCGAACCAGATATTTCAAATAATGAGTAAATGTAAGGTAAATTATGTTGTTTAATTATCCACTATTTTTAAAAATAAATGTTCTAGAGAAAACTGATTAATACTCTGTATTTCGTTCATTTCGCCTATCTCTTTCAGTATACTGCATTGTGATTTTTAGACGAACGAGTGTATGTCATGTCATCATATGTCAAAGTCAATGTAGTTTTGACGTTACTGTTTACTTCCTCGTGTGACGTGACGTGACGATCAATTTATTTTTCGTTGAATTCGAATTTGAATGTGTGGATTTATTATGGTGTTTGTTATTAAGAATTATTAAGCGTGCTAGTTCCTACAATGGCTACACCCGATTCAAAAGTTGAAGAGAAGGCGATATGCCATACTATTTTAGATAAAATAAATTCAATAAATGATACCGTAGTTGCAAAGGTACAGTCTTTCATTTTCATTTATTTAATATATATGTTTGAACATTTTCTCATCTAAACAACAAATATATTTTGTTTTTATTAGGCACCAGATATTAATGACTTCACGATAATAAAGCCGATAAGCAGAGGAGCTTTTGGGAAAGTCTTTTTGGCACATAAAAAGAGTAACAAAGATCAGCTGTATGCAATTAAAGTAATGAAAAAATCAGACATGATTAATAAAAATATGGTCACACAAGTTGTAACCGAGAGGAATGCATTGGCGTTGTCAAGAAGCCCTTTTTGTGTGCATTTATTTTACTCTTTGCAGTCAACATCGTCTATTTACTTGGTAAGAAACCAGTTTCATTATTTTAATACCTAATTAACCCTTTGAGTACCGTCATTATAGACACAATTAAAGAACAATAGGTTGCGGTCACCGGTGTCCTCGCAGTGTTTGACTGTTTAATTTGGAAATGTTTACACATCACATGTAACAATTATAATCACAACTATGTAGACGAAATATAATATTTGATTGTGGCAGAAAGTTATTTTTAGTCTGTATTTCATTAACTCGTCGAGTACCGGTTTTATAGACACAATTAAAGAACAATAGGTCGCGGTCACCGGTGACCGCTTGGTGTTTGACAGTTTAATGCTATTTATTACAGGTGATGGAGTACATGGTTGGTGGTGATTTAAAGTCCTTATTAGGTGTTTATGGATTCTTGGAAGAATCTATGGCGGTATTTTATATAGCAGAAGTCACCCTTGCATTGGACTACTTGCACAAACACAATATTGTACATAGAGATTTGAAACCAGACAACATGTTGATATCAAGAACAGGCCATGTGAAACTCACTGATTTTGGTTTATCTAAAATTGAAGTTAATAGAGGTATTATGTTTTTTATTTATTGTATCATTTTAACTTATACAAATGGGTTTTACATTTGATACTTGTGTTTCTGCATAATAATAATGCAAGAACTTGTTAGCAATTTATCTATATTTGTAAATGTTATGCCATATTAATGTTAATTTTAAATAAGTTTCATTATTTTAAACTTTAAAAAAATTTTCAGACTTGGAGATCTCAGACTTTGTGAACTGCACACCAAGCCTTAATATGAGAACACCTGGTCAACTGTTATCATTGACTTCTCATTTGTCCTTTGGCTCTGGAGGAGGAGACAGCACACACAACTCTGTGATGTCTACAGATGCCTGTGAGAACCTTCTTGATGAGCTTAAAGAGACTAGTACGCTTTTACCATCCATATAAAACTTCACATTCTACAAGTTCTCCTAGTACATATAAGTATTTTACATTTGCAGGTAAATTGAAAAGTTTATTTGATGGAGTTAGTGGATTGGAGAGTTCACCATTACTGAATCAGTCACACATGTCAGGAATACATCCGTTTATGAGTGCTGAAAGTATTAATTTGGATACTGTAAGTTGACAAACTTTTAAAATTTTTTGTTAAGAGATTTATTTTTGACTTTTTAACTGTTTGAATGTTTATTTCATATTTTAGTCTGAGGACTCTAGTTCATACCACACATGTGAGAGTTCAAGGAACAGTTCCAACTCCAGGAGTAAGTCAACAGATCCCAGTAGCAACAGTTCAGTAGGAGAATCCACTGTTCTATCAGATTCCCAGCATGACCAGTCCACCTCACCACTGTGTAGGGGACACTCCTTGAAGCGAATACCTAGGTAACTTACTTACTTACTGGTAATCTTAACTTAATTAATCTTATGTAACAAAATTAATAATTAATAATGTATACTTTATAAGATATACTAATTGACCATTATTATTTTCCTTTGTAATTATAAAAACAATCAATATTTTTACAGCTTTAGAGCCAAAAAAAGGAAGAGGATATTAGATTGTGATGGTGACACCCCTACAGGTGTAACTAGCCTGCTAGAGTCTAAAGAGAATCACAGTGGACTGACACAAGAGATCATGGCACTGGAGTTGAGTCAGAACACACCTAAACGCATGTCCATACATCCCACACCCGACAAACGTAAAAATCCTATCAAAGGTGTTTTGAAAAAACGGTAAGTACTATGTATACAATATAAGAAAAACGAAAACATATATATATATTTTGATGTGTAAACAAGACACGCACTTTACCACTAATGGAACGACTCCTATGTAATTGAGCACAAAGCTGGATAAGAGTCCAAATTTCGTGTCTACAGTCTGTCTTCTGTAATGCTTGAGACCATTCCACAGAAGTGACTTTCGAGTTCAGAGTAAAACTAATCCACCTAGTAAAAGCGCAAAGTAGTACACTTTGAGTAAATAATATTACTTTTATTTTACAGGTGGGTCTCACAAAACGACAGCCACCATTTCAATGTGGGAGTCATATTTTCAACACCAGTAAATGACAAATCCCCTGAAACAAAGAAGAAGGAGACTCGCTTCAACCTTCCTAAAGAGGAGCAACCATCTGAATCTAAGGAGAAAGCTTTCATGTTTGGAAAACATGTCTCCACTAGTTTAGAAATATTTCCTACTAGAAGATTAAGTAAGGTAACGCTATATATCATTTTTACAACACTTTAATGACAGACACATGATTTATTAGTATCCTCCATATTCCCAACAATATGTATACGAGTTTTCAAGAGAATTGGTTGGGTTGATAAAGTGTTAAGAGGTAATAAATAAGCAAAGTAGTTATTTTTGCATTTAAAATATTAATGGTAAGAACAAATGTTATAATCCATTTACAAATACATCTCTGCACTGTATAAAGGTCGACTACTAAAGAATACGGTATGTAGAAGTCAGTCTTTAGGTATGCCTATGTATATTGTTATGAATAAATAATTAAATGTTTCAGGGCGAAGGCAGTCGGTCGCCTACAGATGCATGTAGGACACCATTAGCTACCGCACACACGCCTTACCGGACACCCAAGAGCGTGAGGCGAGGGAACTTAGTTTCGGATCAAAGGATTTTAGGGACACCCGACTATTTGGCTCCTGAGTTACTATTGAGGTAAGACAAATTTAGATTTGATTTAACTTTAAAAAAATTTTTAGATTTAATGACTCAAAAGATCACAGGAGTACTTTCCATTCAAAAATAGTTTATCCGAATAGGACGCCAGTAAATCTTTCCTTATTATGAGTTTAATTTTTTCAGACAGGGCCACGGTCCTCCAGTGGATTGGTGGGCGTTGGGCGTATGTCTGTACGAGTTTATGACGGGTGTTCCACCGTTCAATGACGAAACACCACAGGCTGTTTTCAAAAATATACTGTCACGAAGTAAGAGATTGGTACTTTACATAATGAAATAAGAAAGAAAATATTTCAACCCTCTAATTGCTAATGGCATGTGGTAACATGAAATTATTGACATTTTATAAAGCTACCTTGTAGATTTCTGTTAGATAGGAATATAATGAATAAATATGACTAATATTACAGATATCGAATGGCCTGAAGACGACGAGGCCTTGTCTCCTGAAGCAGTGAGCGCCATCGAAGCTCTGCTCACGATGGAGCCGGCAGCGCGCCCGGCCGCGGCCGCTGTACGCGCCATGCCGATATTCAGGAACATTGATTGGGACAACCAGCTCAATGTAGAACCACCCTTCATACCTACCCTAGATGATGTTCACGATACTGGCTATTTCCAAGGTAGGTACCGTTTATTTAAATTTGGGATATTCTACAGTACACTTGTAGGAAGAATTTTATTAATAATTTCTTAACTTTTACAATAATTTTATGTTGTTATGAAAGTTTTCATTGTAACAAAAAAATATATTCGACTAATGCAGTAGGGATTGCATTTTGTAACCTTTGTATTTTGATTCTGTGGTAAGTACTTATCTAACTTTTTTTCAGAATTATATAATAGTTTTGGTTAGATAGATTTAGAGATGACCTATACCTATATCAAAGAAATCTTTTTCAAATTCTTGAAATCGTTATAGTAGAATATTATGAAGAACTTTAGTAGCTCTATTTTCTGTACAAATTCTTTTGTTTCAGCTCGCAATATCCTGCAACAACTACACGTTTCTAACTTTGACATGTAATATTAAGGTTTGTAAATAATTTATATAAATTACTATTAAATGAATTAGCCGATTAACGGATATAATGTGATATTTAACGTGTATAACAATATTTTAACATTGTGATTATTGCTTCCCCTTACAATTATGTACTACTAACCAAAACCATATATTTAAAGACTGATTTCAAAGATGTAACCATCTCATTATGTGCTTTAAGTTAGTTGATTTTAATGTGATTATTATATTCAGTGTTTATCATGTAATTAATATTCCAAAAATAAAAAACAATATATTCGAAATATGGTAATTTTTATTTAATTTAGAATCTTAAATTAAATTGGCACAATTTCCATAAATTGAAATTTTGTTGCAACTAATTAAGAAAAGCAAGGTCGTTTGGTTGTTTTTCTCAAAGTAGTTGTCCTTAAAAATATTATTCATGGAATAAATTGAGAAATTTTTAATTTTGCGACGATGACTGTACTTCGGGTAGTACACAATTTATTGAGCGTTTTTCTGAATCCAAGGTAAGAAGTAGGTGACACGTGTGTAGACACCGGGATATTGGCCTTTGCCGCAACCAATACCCCACGACACGATACCGACTTGAGTCCAACGGCCATTTTCATTTACCATCAGAGGGCCACCACTGTCACCCTGTAAAAAAACGAAATGAGAAGACCTCATTAGCAGAGAAAAAATCTCATTGAAATAGAGAATATCTCCATAAAGAAGAGCAGTTCTCATTATTAATCTAGCTTTTAAAACAAGAACTTACACTGCAAGAGTCCATGCTAGCTTTTCCAGCACAAAGCATGTGCTCTACGATGCCACCTGGAGCAGCTCCACCATATTTCAACTTGCACTCCTGGTTAGACCAAACTGGAATCGACACTTCTTGCAGAACAGAAGGCTGAGGTCCACCTTTATAAAAAAGAATTAGGTAGGTACTGTTAGTCATCAAACCTGATACATGCGAAAGTATATGTAAACAATGACCTGAATTATTTTCGTTTGGTCGCAAATGTATGCTAATATCTTTTGTTACAAAAAACGTGGTGGGTGATTCATATTCTTTGTCTAAATATTTCACTTTGGAAATGATATTTTTATCACTATTGTTCTGAACAAAAATGAAGAGAAATCCATTCGCCGTCTCTTTGGTTGTGCAGAAATAAATATAGTCTTTATGTAACATATTAATTATTATAAAGTCTAAATTATGCTTACTTTCTCGCAAACTTCCCCAACCGATGACTGTAGCGATTTTGCCCTGGTATGTGGATCTGCCACCAACCGGCAAACAAATGGGACGGACGTACTTGCTAAAGGCAACGGGCTGGTCAATTGTCAATACGGCGACATCATTGTACTGGAAATGGAAAGCAAAATATATCAGAATATAGAAAAAAAAATGTTTCCTAATAATGAAGGTCTATGGCTGGAACTCTATTTGCTGAATTTACTGAAAATGCTTGATTATTATTATTTTTTTGGAAAAATTGTTAAGATCAGGCAGGCAAGACATTTTGTTACATCATGATATTCATAAATGTCGGGATTTGCGAAACTCCCACTCCGGACAATACATAATAAGATTGAGTATGGTTAGCATTAATCAATTTTCTTCTGTGCTTACCAGAGTACGCATATCAAATCCGCGATGTCTCACCACCCTCTTGATTTTCCTTTCAATATGTTGAGTTTCGGTGTTGGTGCGAATGTTGTGGTCTCCAAGTCTGGCCGTAAGCCGAGCCACATCCCAGGACGTCATACTGACAATTGATAATAATATTAATGATAGTACAATACAATAACTACGGAAACTTATTTGAGTAAGTCGAATTTTTTACTCAATGTATGTAGTTGGGGGTGTATTTGTATTAAGTCAAGCAATCCTACCGTGTTAATCAATAAGGAAATAAATAAATAAATAAGTAATAAAACGTCTTCCTATTTGGCTTTCAGTGATTTTTATGGAATACATTCATAAAGACTTTCAATTTCAAGACTCGATATTGTTTACTTACTGTGCCACACAATGGGCTGCAGAAAGCACATGTTTGTCGTCTATTAGGGAGCCGCCGCAGAACTGTCGCCCAGCGTTGAAGAGTGCCACAATCCACGGCCACTCATTCAGGTCAGCGTTGTGCCCACCTACTATACGTTCCTCGTCTTGATAATTACTGTCGTAGGTCTGTATTTTGTTAAAAGTATGACATATCAAATTATTAATATAATCTTTAGTAGTACAGTACATTCACACCACCTAGAAGAGATTTTTAGTATTTATAAAGCGTAATACCGTTTATTCCGAAAGGAAAAACAGTATGTAAGGAACTCTTTCGGGATAATTCCGACGCACACCTAGCCACATTTTTTGTTTCAATTCAGAAACTGAGGTAATGCCTACTTTTTGTCAATAAGTCTGACATTAATCAGTTCTTAGCCTGCATACATACCTTCACGTTTGTAAAAAGAGTTCTTTTAAAATGTTAGTCGTCAGTCATACCTGAGGTCCATTCTTAATTCCACAGGATCCATCCACTGCAGGCTGAGAAGGCACTGGCTGTGCTGGCACACTCGGCTTAGTAGGATATGCTGGGGCCCACGTCTGAGACGATCGTAAATAATAATGTGTTATTAATTGCTTGCTTACACTAGTCGTGCTGCTACTGTTAAGTTTTACATAAAAAGTAGCCAGTTTACCTGCTTGGTTGTGCTGGGAGGCCTAGTAGGCCAGGTTGTAGGTGCAGCTGGGAAGTTACTTGGTGGTTTTGTTACACCTGCAACTGTTGACAAGCTTTTAGCATCAGTGTGTACATCTACATCAATTAATGATCAAGGTAAAGATTTAAGAACCATTTCTAAGCTCATGCCATTGTCACATACAATTCTCCAAAGAGGTGACGATGATCTTACCCGCAACAGCTATCCTGAATATCTTACTAAAAAGTTTTCTTAACTATTAGGTACCTACTTATTTGGACAAGTGATGGGTTACCTAGAGAAGGTGGATGCGTAGGCGCAGTGTGGTCGGGCGGGTGGGTAGGCAGAGGAGGGATCGTCGGCGGCCATTGTGCGGGAATCTGACGGAAGTCGCCGTCGTTGCCGTATGACCATCTTGTCAGTGCTGCAAATCTGTTAATCATACATGATATTCAGGTTAGTAATTTTAAATAACTTTTTATACTTATTTTTATTGTATTGTAATCTGCATCCATGACGTTACAGCTTGTCAAAAATTTGACAACTGGTACAATCGCTAATGTGATAAGGACCTATCGTTAGTCATTTGTGAATGACAAGTGGTAAAATCGATTCATGTAAAATACTGACATTTAATCAAATCTCGTTAATACTCCGTATCGACTTCAAATTGTTTGGAAAATGATAAAGAAATATGAATTATACAATGAACTAAAAAAACAATTTGCAATATTTTAGTTGTTTTTCTATTCAAAAAACGGCCTTTATTCAATGTCTAACTTTTGGTATACAGGTAAACCTACCCTGGCAGAAACTGTAGAGGGACGGCAGGCTGTATGTATCCGAACCTCTGCACATCAGGGGCCTCTTGCGGGGGCGTGTCCACCGGGTCTGTGCAGCACACTCCATACACCTGACCAATTGAATATCTACTATTACCAGAATTCATCGTAAAGTAAGCTACACAATAGCTAATATACTTTCTACTTGATTTGATACACTAGAAAGACTATGTTTTTATAATAACTATCGTGAGACATCCTGTTTGTAGGCTGCGCGACATCGCCGCGACCGCGTACGCTGCTCACGAGAAAGAGCCCCGTGGCTCGAAAGTAGTAGAACTTAACTCAGTTTATTCATGTGAGTACCTAACCCGCGGTTTTTAGTTACAACTAGAAAGAGTTCTTAGTTGAAAACCACTTAGATACGACTAGAAGCTTTTAACATGACTCACGACAAGATCTCACAATAGATAAGTTGTAAATAAGTTTTAACTAATTACTGTACCTCCTTATTTTCTTCATTGACAAATCTGCAAGTGTCATAATGACCCATGACCCACCCGTCCCCACCAGAAAAGTCAGCTACTTTGAGCAAAGGGTAGCAGTCATTGTAAGTCTTGCATGATCCCTTCTTCCCAAGAGCCGTTTTACAGTCCTTTCCTTGAACTCCTTCGGCCTAGTGAAGTAAAAGACGAAGGCTAGTTAGATAAATTAGTAGATAGATAATATTTCTCAACAGGCTTAGGCCTGCTATCTGACGCTGTCCATTGACTGTAAGGGTAACAAGGTACCTACTTTATTGCAAAATAAATACCACATGTTTCATTGAAAATCACACTGTGTCTATTAAAGATATTTCTCAAACTAGTAGTGTAATTTGATAAGCCTAGTAGGCACTTGGGTAGTACTGTTTAAGTGTACAGAGGTAGATACCTGTCTTAGCTGCACTAACAGCAATTGTTTGCCATCGCGAGTTGAGTTAACCACGTCACGTTTCACACGTTCTGCGGGAGCTGAAAATTAAAAACATATTTGATACAGTATTTCCGTTGCAACTATTGTTTTCTGAATGTACCTATTTGATAAAATGTTACTTGAAGCCTTAGGTAAGCAAGGACTAGAAAACCTTTTAATTATTGCTAACATTCATAACACACTGGTTTTAAGTATCTACACTTATTCGATTATATTAAAGGACGAAACCTTCGAATAGTCCCAATTCTTACCTACTTCCAAAAGTATCCGTTCTAAGCTCTTAATGTTTTTATGTTATATTTAATTCGTAAAAAAAGGAATATGAATTTGATTGAAGGTAAAAAGATCAAAGACGGTGTTACTAATTAATTTCATATAAATATTTATTGCGAATATTAATAATATAATTCAAACTGCTTTATAAAACACGAATTCGTTGCACCTTGCACCGCAATCTTTGAAATCGATTACTGGCTAAAAATAAGTTGCTCAATCCCTTTTATGATATCGAATCATTTCAATTTATTCGTGTAATATAATTAAAGAATGTTCATTGAAAAAAGTGATGGGACATTGAACCTGTCGCATAATGGCGGACCGACTTTGTTGTTTATGATTACCTCCTAATATCACAAGGCAATGTATAACGGTTGCTTCAAACTACACCAATGAGCATGTACCGTATTAAGGTCTAAAAGTATAACTGGCATATGTTAATTATCGTTTTTAAAACTTGTTTCGAGACGAGTACTCACTTCGATCATAAAGAATTGCTAATTAACTCTGGTTTCAAGTTTATTGACGCACTGGACACTCAGGACTTTTTCATGTCAAAGCTGCTAATTAAAATATGCGTCAATGTAAAAACTAAAGTCTTGTTTTTAAACTAAAGCTATGACATGAAGTTGAAATGATTAGACATGCAATGCAAATATTGTATGTATGTAATAATATAATTTTGGATAATGTTTGATTTCGATCAATATCTTCAGTTGGAGTAAATGAACTTCGCCAGCGATAATCGTAAACATCGTGGAAATTATTATTCTAAAGGCGATCTTAAAGCATAGCTCGAGTACAACAGCGTACGAAACGTGTCGTAAACATGCATGTTATTTATTTCGGATCGCTGCATAACGGTTTCCGTTATATTCAAACCTCAGAATGCTATGTGCAGCATGCCAATAATACTACGACCTAAATAAATACAACATATTTGTAGAATTATGTCATTAAAACCATTTTAAGCAAGAGACAGATGAGTATTTAAAAGTAAACTGGTCTGTATATTATGCGCATCTTGATGAAGAACTCCAAGCAAAATAGTACTGACAAAATAATAAGAATTTGTCCTTGAAGAAGCTGGAGCTGGACGTTGAATCAGACTCAACTTTCGACCGACCGAGGGTTCTAAATAATTAAACTTGATTGTCTGAGATCCTTTAATGAAAATGTAGGTACGCAACGACCTTTAAAGGTTCCTAGATTTAAAATGAAAAAACCAATTCATGACCATTGTAACAATCAAAAATCACCTTTATAGTGCACTGGGTAGGGAATATTTTTCACTGGTAGATAGAACTGCAATTTTATTTAAATAGCATGCAGTGGTATGCCAACAGACACGACACCTTGAACTTGATACCAATAACAAGTATCTACATCATTTAATTTTCCTGTCGGGTGAGATGGTTGAGCCTTAAAAGGATAATGGTAACAAACGTCCCCTGCGGTACCTACACAAAACTGGTACTTGGTTTAATTAAAAACAACGTATAAATCAGACAAAGGATTTTTTACGCCCCTACATTGTCATGACAGTAAACAAGCCTGTTTGGCGACGCGCATACATATCTAATAACATTTGTGTCTGGATTCCGGGTTCAGCTATCAACCGCGAGGAAATGTCAGAGGCGTCATCCAGCTTCAATCGCCAGTCTCCGATCTAATTAATGTCCTCGAAGTGACTCACAAAAAGTTTGAACAATTTAAGTCGTGCTTTGGACAATGATGTGATTGATGTGATCGACTTGGGATGTGTGGGCGTACGACAATTTGCATTGAATTGATCCCATAGGTATTTCCGAATAATAGCCCACGTGTTAGAGAAGTTCTTAGTACGAACTCAATTACAGGTTGATGACCAACGTCTTCATCAACTTTAGTACAGACTTTAAATTGTTATAAATCTACTTTAGTTTAATTGTAATAGGTTCTTAACATAATACAATAGCACTTTTTGTGAAGGACAATATTATAAAAAGTTTAGGGCACGTTTTGCCAGTTTTAATCTTTGTAATCTTTTTTTATGGAATAGGAGGCAAACGAGCCGACGGATCACCTGATGATAAGCGATCAGCGCCGCCCATGGACACCCGCAACACCAGAGGAGTCACAGGTGCGTTGACGGCCTTTTGAAAAGGAATATGCTATTAATGTAGAGTTGATAAAATTATTTGCCAATCGTATGAGTCCTTGATCCAGGAACAAAACCGTTATTACAGGTATAGAAGAGGCAATTCTAAACCAATTGAATTCGTCTTTTTCCAATCGTAGTATTTACGTTGGACATAAATATCTCAGTGCCGAATTTTAACTTTCTCTAGCCTCAAAACCCCATACCCTCATGTGCCGTCCATTGTTTTGAGTCCTCGCAATACAAATACTGGACGTTACACTCATTCTATGAATAAGCCGTACGTGAGTGAGTAAACCTTTATGTTACGGTTAAACCGTATAGACATCAATAAAGAAGTGGACAAAATGTTGGAGTTGTAAAAGATTCAGATTTCAAAACTTTATATCAGTTAGTTATGTATTAACTCGTCGAGTACCGGTTTTATAGACACAATTAAAGAACAATAGGTCGCGGTCACCGGTGACCGCTTGGTGTTTGACAGATTAAACCAACTTGTGCACCATTTATGGCAACGCAGATTTGTCTATCCTAATTTTCAGAAAGCATAATATTTTCTGATGTAGGTATCTATATTGCGAGTGCAGATTATAATATTAAATCAAGACTTTAATTTCTATTAATGTTATTGGGAAAAATAGGTTAAGAGATTACCATTTAACACGATAAAACTTTAGTTAGTTTATCATGCACATAAAATTGGTAGCAAGTTAATATTTATTTTATAATAATAATTGAGCATGGTTCATATTTTACTTGTGTATATAAATAACAATACTTTAAAGTCGGCTTACCGTTTAAAATAACCGCATCGTCGGTATAGAACGCACCATCAGTAGACGAGAATCCATTCGTTACGTCCAGTTCACTCCCGTACCCAAACGCTAAAAGTCCCGCCCAAACAATTGCGAATTTACTCTTTATCAACATTATATCGTTTTTATAAGTACGACATTCACTTAGACTACTGTACGGAAAGAGTTTAAATTATATTAAGTGCACGTCGCGGGTGTGTCCAGCCCGCAAGGAGTCGCTTCGCAAAATGCTTCGGGCTCTTGACTCCGCGCCTTTATAATATTTTTGCACTGACGCTCTACATTAGGTTAAAAAGATAACAGAGCTTTTTCTCCTTTTGTACAGGACTGACATTTGCCGTCCAATACAGCGAGCTTTATAAAATATGACAGCCAATTCGTTTGGAATGCCCGAAATGGAATACTCGATCGATGGTGTTTATTTTTCTGCATCATCACGGGCGGCAGCACCTAACAAACACGTAATATATGCAAGATCAATGAACTTAAACTAAGTAAGTTATTTTAGCAACACATTAAAGTTCATTATAGTTATTACATCAAAAAATTTAATCAAGTTAAAAATAAATTTTATTTAATCACTGTCTTGGCTCCTTGAATGTTACAAGAGGGCCATTACCGTATATTCCAAAAGCATTAAAGTTAAATTAAAACGTGGAAACGAAAATTGTTTTACAAAACAAAAAAGGCTGTAACTCGGTGATGTAGCTTATATGTATAGGTAGGCAGGTACCTACCTACTCTCTTAAATTGCAGTTGAAAGCTTCGCCGTCAAAATTGTTATCCCAATCTTTAATTTAGTAACATAATGATTCTTTGATAAGTTAAATTTAGCTTCACTCCCTTTTAAATAAAACCAAATAAACAACTCAATAGACGTTAATCCTTTGATAAGGATCCTAAAAAAGGATAATGGAAGTCACCCACCCTTTCAGCTCTATGTAGATATGATTTTTTCTGTTTACAACGTCACGAATTTGATGTATGTGATCCGATAATCCCACCTGTCTAAATACCTATGCATATAAGTGCTAAAACCACAACAGGCACTCAGCATAATGTCACTGACCTTTACAAAAACGAAGGAGCACTTTAAAATCGTCAATCGTGTCAACAAATTGCTTACTGTAGGCAATTTATGTTCCTTGGTGCACACTTTGACAGACGATTTGCATTCGATTCTAAAAACAGTAAAACGATCATTTTTGACGATTCTTTAAGACACGCTTAGGATATTAATTACTCATTCCGTCATTCCAAATTCGTTATCTGAACTTACTTGAACAACTAATTGTTATTACTGACAATAATACACTCTGTAAGTGTCTGTGATTTCTTTTTGATCTACATATTTATTAAGCAAAGAAAATGGTGCCCTTGATGAGCAACCTTCGATACTCGTGGGAAGGCAGCAAAAAAGAAACATAATTCAATTAAACGATATACTCTGCAGCTCTTATGTTTCTTATCTTTTAGTTGTAAAGGTATCATTACTCTTTTAATGAGAAATGTTAATAATTATCGAGATCACGGAACAAGATCAGCATATCGATAGGTATGAGTTGACGCGTCGAGCAAGCAGGATGATTAGATCGAAGCGCGTACGATATTAGCGTCATTAATCTTTAAATGTCCCGTTATGTCAATGTCTTAGATCAGTATCTGTCGGTGGTGTGCAAAAATGTAATACGGCCTGACACTGCTTACATTCTCATTTAATACAATGTCCATTGCGTGGGCCATAATATTTGAGCTTTGTTGTCATGACGATGGCGCTTTGCGAGGTTTAAAAACAATGAAATTTGAATTAAGTATACAGATTACAGAGTACTGTTTACTCGTACCAGGTAAAGTGAGGCGTTGACATGGACGGTTGGTAAATAATATCGCTCTTCGCACAATATTTGAGACGTGAAGGTTCCAAGACCTAGTTAGATATGAATCATTCGTCTGGACAAGGATATTGATATTTGAAATGTTTCGTACGCTGGAATGAAGATTATGAGTAATGTTGCTAGTGCTTAAGTTATGAAAAAGATTGATAGTTCTGTTAGGAAGACGTTTACAGCTACAAAAACATTACCAGTGCCAGTTACCGGGTTAGCATCTTACCTTTGTGCCTTTTACGATTCGGACAAGTCATGAAGTCAACAACATCTAAACGCTCGGCAAACATTTGTGATGTGCACACAGGCATAGTTATACATGTGTTCTTGTGAGGTTCATTCCCTGTTTCAAATGTTAATGAACACAAACCTTTAATCGGAATCATGGAGCAATCGTTTTCGCCCGAATTATTTCTATAACAATTTACAGCTAGACATGTGATTAACCCTTTGAGTACCGTCATTATAGACACAATTAAAGAACTATAGGTTGCGGTCACCGGTGTCCTCGCGGTATTTGAGAGTATAATTGATGTCTCCTCAGTTGCACATATGTATGTAAATGCTGTTAAATAAATTCGTTATAGTAACTGCGACAGTAACTAAAATAGTAGTTTTTGCCACAAGTACCTACTTATTATTGGAAAGAAACAAAAGGATCCTTTAAAGCTTTAATTACAAGTTCCGTGGTGTTTGGTGAATGGTCTCCTAAGGCTTCTGTAAAAAGGAATGGGGTGGGGCTATTCCTATTTTTATCTTCCTTTCCTAAAATTATGCCTGTGTGTATTTAATATGGTTGCAAGGTCCAATACAGTTGTTCATGTATCTGTGACGTACCGAACTTCATATTTATATTAGTTGGTCTTATGGAATGAATGATCCTAGCTTACATGAGGTACGATGGTTGAATCTGGTGGGCCTGTCCCAAAAATATTATCTAGATCTCACTTAGACAAGTCTCACCGTACTACTTACTTAGTATAGTTAAAAATACTTTAATGTACAATAAACGATGTTGGTCTATAATACCAGCTATCAATTAAGTCAAGCCCTCATTTTACAACCTACTACGAGAATCACAGTACTATAAATAACATTTACAACAATCTTATGATGCACTTGCAATAAATTCAAAATGTCAAGAGATCATCAACCTCTTTAATAATAAGGATAAAATTAATCGTTTACAATCAATCAGTCTAATGAATAATTATAACAGCATTATAATGTAGAGCGCATCTTATATGTTCCAATGGTTCTAATAATTTATTTGCCGTGAACGTACACCGTTATATTAAATTACTAACATTTGGACTAGTGTCTTCCATATATAGACGAAGACGAATTTATTATTGACCATCTTCCTAACTTTGTAATTTAACAATGATAAAATAAAATCATAAAAAAACTCGTTTTGATGCCTAATTTATTTCTTCTTCCTATTTTGATTCGAAAGATTTATGTGTTTGTTTTACGGGCGAAATTCGACATAAATTGTATGGAGTTTCTGTCAAAAACCATGGTCGATCCAAATATTGTGGTTTAAGATGGATTATTAAATAATTCTAGCCGTTAATCAGCCTATCAGCTATTTATACCGGAGTAGCCTTGCGATTTTTTACGCTGTTTTGTGCATACCTATTACAGATATTAAAGTGTCAAAAGGAACGTTTTCACTTGTTATGAGTCTGTTTAAGATTACTTTGAAGTTGGTCGAGATATTTCGGCAATTTAGGAGAGTGGTTTTATGTGGTCCACATTTCTTCATCGTCTTCATTCGAGACTTCTTGGCCTGTCTATCGTCATCAATAACCGACATGATATCTGTTTCATTTGTATTTTAGCAAGGATGAAATATCATCAATGACTCTCTCTAAACCGCCTCTGTCGCCCTGGGCGGGGCGGGAGTTACTGAAGAATCATCCTGTTCCAACTTTTATTCTGTGTTGAGGTCGCGATGGCCTCGCTCACAACCCCGACAGGTTATGGCGAACCTTTTATCTTTTATCTATAAAGTTCACATGACAATTTGGCATAATTTTCTAAGGCTCTGCCTTCGTGTGGGAGAGCCATGCTTCGGCACGAATGGGCCGGCTCGATCGGAGTGATACGGCTTTACAGAAAACCGACGTGAATCAACACTTGCGTTTTTGTGTCGTCGTGTGAGTGAGGTTACCGGAGGCCCAATTACCCCCCTTCCTAATCTCCCGAATCCCCGAATCCTCCGCAATCCTCCGCAATCCTCAAATTCCCATTTCCCAAAAGGCCGGTAACGCACTTGTAACGCCTTGGTGTTTCGAGTGTCCATGGGCGACGCCGATTGCTTACCATCAGGTGATCCGTCTGCTCGTTTACCAGCTTATTTTAATTTTACGAGGAACTTCAAATAAAGTAATATAACAATAAAGTAAAGAGAATAATACTTATTTAATACTTTGCCGGACTGGGGCAGGGGAACTAGCCCAGAGTGAAGATCTGCAACCAATTAAATTAAATAAAGTCAGCAACTACGAGCGCCTGAAGTATTACACACGTAAACAATTGTATAGCCTAATTTGGCTCTTCAATATTAAAAAGGCGCTAAGCTAAATAGAAATTTTGAGGATCTTTCACAATTTTGATCTGTTTCAAGGTCACGAAACAGTTACAAAAAACATAAACATAGGAAATGGAACTACAGCATTAACCACATATGGAAAATGCGTTGGCAGTGTTGGTAAATAAGAGATAAAAAGTCCGAAATATTAGCATATAAATATAATGTTATGAGATATGCCGTATGACACCTCTCAACATGGGTAGATAATCTAGATTTATAAAATAATGTATTTCTTAATCCTTTAGTATGTGACCTTAAGTCTATATTTTAAGTTTTAAGGCAGAACGAGCGGCGCGTATGTTTTATTATATAAAGTCATTTATAAGCGTAATGCTCATGTGATTGTGATACACACTTTCGAAACTTACTATAATTTCCTGTCCTTAGCTGTTTCTGATGAACCATACATGTGCGATTTCGTCTTGGGCGCCCATCGATATATGGTCGTTATTTTTTTACCAAGCGGTTATGGTAGGTTTCTAAAGCGTTTCATCACAACCACATGAACATTAGACCTCTAAAGGACTAGATTATAAAAAAAAAACGCGGCGCTTACACTACCTTCGCGTGGAGAGGAAATCAATTTTCTTCTCAAAATGTTTAAAAATGTATTTTGCGTTGCTCTGGTGC